ATAAGGCGTGGAAGGCCAGAGTGTTAGGGATAATTTAATAAGTTGTAACAGGAGCAGAACGTAAGGAATAGGTAAGTGAGTGCAAGTCCAGCCATGAGCGGGCCGCTCGGGGGAGTGTCTGACCGTCAGCGATCCCCGTACTAGGGTTCACTTGTGAACTGGCCTTGGGAAGTGGTTGGCCAGTGAGCCAGACAGAGGGTAACCTTGAACGGAGGTTTTGACAACCTGTGGCGCGCACGGGCTGGTGCACACGAGAGCCAGACACGCGGGGCTTGTGATCAAAGCATGGCTAGGAAATACAAGGTCGCTACAAGACTCTGACTTTGGTTAACTTTTCCGCCAGACTACTTCCGGCCAAAGAAAATTTCGTTCGATGTGAACTATTTCTCCTCTTCTTATTTTTAGACCGGCTTCGCCTTTGTTCTTTCGGGCGTTGAGTTCGTTTATCAAAGGTTGCATTTTCATGCGTTCGTTTGGTTCATAGTCCAGCTGAAAGAAGACTCCGGCATGCATGGTCCGCAGATATGACTTTCTTTCTAGCAGAAGCTTTGCCTGCGCGTCGGTGTCCCACATGACCTTTAATGGTCGTGGCCGAGAGCTTGAACCAGTCGGCGGCTTAATCTTGCCTATTCGATATGTTTTGATAATTTTTACAGACTCAGTGCCTGTTAGCAGTGTCTAGCGTACTGCCAAACGAGAGCTCTATCGTGCTCCACCATATCCTCTACAACGGTAGCCATTAATTCTGGTGCACCCTGTACCACAATATGTTGCTTACGATTTGATCGAGCTTGTGCCGTGGTCGCATCGCACTGATTTACTGATGGAAGTTTTGTTTCCTGTTCGCTCATTTCGCTAACCCTGGAAAAAGTAGCAACAGGGGTTTCGAGGCCCAAATCTCTGAAAGATTCTATGGACATTGTGCTGATAGCACTTTCTTCTAAATTACCGTTTGCCCTATTGCCCAATTTAATTTCCTTTTCGTCAGAAGTCTCCTCTTGGATTGGTTGTCTTGCTTTATGTTCACATGGCGTGCTCCCAGTTCTGTCTTGCGAGAAAACTGAGGGCTTTTGTTGGTCTTTAGCAGGTCATTCTGCATCCGCCTTCTGCTGGCGTATGCGCCTGCGTTTGGCCCTGCTGGACTCGTGGTTTCCTGATAAATCAACCAGTGTCGAGTCCTCTGCGTGCTACGCCTCCGGTGGCGTTATTTTATTGTGCTTTATAATCACTGCTATTATCTGTGAGTAAAATGCAAGGCTTCCCTTTAAACGCATTACCCGCGTGGCTAGATCAAGACATCTATCGCAGTGTGCGTGTGCAGGCTTATTTGGCTGGGTGGTGTTCGGTTCTAAGGCCGTTGGTGAAAGAAGGTGCGTTTTTGCATAGCGGATGGTCTGGGATTTGGTACGCGTTAATGAAAGTGCTTCGGATATTTCTGGGAGTATCTTGTAAAAGGTTGTAAAGGGGGGCTTGAATAAGTTAGCCTGATAACAGCCTTTAGAGTATATATTAGCAGCTCGGCCTACAGAGTGTGAACTGATGCTCAAGTCGGTTAAGTCGCCAACATTTTGGAATGAGGTCCGGGGTTCAAATCCAGCCGTCGACGAACATTGGTTTCCATATTGCACAGATGGATCATGCATGTGAGCGTTACCCATGCTATTGGAAACTATGTGAGAGTGCATGAATTCAAAAGTCTGCAATTAACCGGCCGTACTAATATAGATAGCGAAAAGGTTTGCTTGTTCTACGAATTTCAACAGTCAGAATTTTTCGTGTAAACGACTCAGCCTTTGTTGTAAGGAGTTCTTTCACTGTTGCCATCAGAGTCAGAAGCAGCGATGTTCGTCTTAGGAGCGAGTGAACTTCCAGACTTGTGCTGATCGTAGGGATAATTTCCAAGGCGTGGTATTATCCGTGGTCCAGTTATATTGTGAAAGCGAAGGATTCATCTCATTCAGAAAAGATATTTCCAAAGGGCAAATAATACGCAGTTCCCTTGTCAATTTTTTCAGCTGGATGTGTCTTCTACACTAAGGTAGAAACTAAAAACCTCGTTAGCGCAAAGACCTTAATTTCGAAACTAATTGCAAGTTCCCGCACCCGTGATCTCAGTGATCACATTCGAGCGTTTGAATTCTCCAAGTACGCTTGCGAACATACAATCGGTTGGCCCGAGTTCGCAAGCACCAACCCAGGTTGGGTACAACCTGAGATATAGATCGGTGTACAATCAGACAATTGTTCAACTCAGTTTATATTGCTTTTGCTTCTGAGCTTTGTGCAGGTCTGTAACATTCTTTGTCGTTGAGGAGAACATTGGCTTTCTCGTTTTAGTCTTTCCGGTTCATGACGACCGTTGACCGTCCCTTGTCTGTGGGCACTTTGATAATATTTAGTTCTTTAAGAGCTTTCACTTCATTCTTTGACACGCATCGGGCTGGCCGGTGTGTTATCAGCAAGAAGGTGACCCGTTTTCGGACAGTGTTTTATTTTCGTCTGTTGTTTCAGTCCTCACAAGTATGGCTTCTACGGCTACAATGAAATCGACAGGGTCAGCATCAGCGGTGTTAAAACACGCTTCATGCTGGACCACTCGTTGTTGCCTTTCAGTTAGTTGCTTGGAGGAGAGGTTATGTACCAAGTTTGAGCTTCCCGTGTCGGGTGGTCGTAGCTTATTCAGCTTCCGATCCAAGATAACTCGCTTCCTGGCTTGTCTTAGTTGTGCCAGCGCAGCGATTGTCTCAGCAAGGTCTTCAGTGATGGAATCACCGAGAATGCCAGCACACTCGCTTTTCTTCTGCTCAATAACAACTTTGTATTTGCGTAGACGCTGGTGGCTAGCAACGATTAGAGCCCTTGCCATCTGCTTTGTAAACCTCTTCTCAAGTTCTCTGCCTATGCACGTGTTAACGGGAGACTTGTTTCTCAGGCGTCGGGGTGTCAGTCCATCTTTTATGCATTGGTACAAGAAACGTAGTTGCTCATAAGTGGCTGCCTCCCGTGTGGCGAAAACCTCCTAGCTTCGAGCTGTCCGAAGCGCATCGTGCCCAAAGTTCTCACGAATTGAAG